AAACTTATATTTAACTTGAAATCATTTTATTTTATTTTGATAAATTTTTTTTCTTCAACAACTGCCTTATAATATTTATATAATATAAAAAATATCCATAATATCTGTATTTGATTTGGTAAAATTTAGCTATTATCAAACGTCGTGAGTTGCTTTGTGTTAAAAGCTAGACTTTACCAAATCTAATATATCCGATTCAGTTATTGTATTTGTAGAACTTCTATCAATAACAGAAAAACGACCCAATTATTCTCCAAGTGACATTTTTTAAATTATTGGTGGTTCATCTAAGTTTACAAGGATATTTATATAACTGTATTCTCTTAGAAACAATCAGATGCAGAAGCATTTGATTATTTCTAAGAGAAACTATTAACTCGGTTTCATTCCATTTATTAGGCATTTTACACTACAGGTAAAAGTATTTGTAAACCTTTCAATCTTTATTCATTAGCTTCTTTATAAATCTTTAGTTATGCACACTCACTGCTAATGTCTCTAGATAGCCAGTCGGTGTGTGTTAAAAGTGATGAAAGATAAAATTCTCGTGTTTTTATGTTTTGTTATAATTTAAGTAATTTTTAAAAAAAAATTTGAAAAGTTAATGTCAACTTTTTTCTTCTAGATCTTTACTTTAGTTGCAAACAATAAAAAGCTGATTTGTACATTTACCACTAGGCCAGGTGAATAAAAAAAAGCAATTGCTTTTATTCAATAATTGGTCAGCTTAACATGAATAAAAACAATTTTCCTAAAATTTTTTATTCACGTAAAGATGAGCAATTTCTCAGCGTTTTTGGAGTAAACTGCTTAGCTTTACGTGAATAGAAATTATAGCATTTTCAAAAAATTTTATTCACGTAAAGCTGAACAATTACTCCAAAAACGCTGAGCAAATCTAATTGCTTTTTTCATTCACCAGGCCTATTACCACATTATCTTTTTTTTTTCAAAACAAATTGTTAATTTATAAAATTCAATAAGATCACCTCTAACACGCTGTTTCACCCATAGCACGTTGTTTCAGATACAATACTGTAAAATATACTTCTAACACCAAAAATAATTAATACAAACGATGCCTTTACTCTAGTGTTTAAAGAACCAACTTTTTCAGTCTTTCATCACAACTTAAAGGATTTAGCTTATGTGCAGATGACAGTTTTATGAATTTTTAAAGAATTTAGCTCATGTACAGATGACAGTTTTATGAATTTTTAAAGGATTTAGCTTATGTGTAGATGACAGTTTTATGAATTTGATTTTTTATAAGAAATTTTTCTACCAACAAAAATTAAAATCACGCAGATAATTAACTATTATGACTAGGCTAATAAACTGATAAAGTTTTTACAACATCTTTCTTTCTTGCCCTATCTTTTCCTAGCTTCTTATTTTTGATTGCTGGGTTTGAAAAGGAAATAGATTATTAATCCAAAAACCATTAAATACTTTGAAATAATTCTTACACATCATATATTCATAAATTCATATATTCATTTATGCATAAATGTAGTTTAAAAGCTATAGACTGTATTTTCATTAATGAGCAGCCTTACATGCTGTTCTTTATCAACAACTAATAACTTTTATTGATTGTAAACAAATTAAAATTAAAAATAATAAATAATCATTCTTTAATGTTTAATAAAAAAAACTATCGGTTTACAACTCTTTACTACCAATAATGTTTGAATTTCTTTTATAAATATGCGCAAAAATGAATATATGATGTGTAAAAATTATTTCAAAGTATTTAATGGTTTTTGGATACATAATCTATTTCCTTTTCCAACCTAGCAATCAAAAATAAGAAGCTAGGAAAAGATAGGGCAAGAAAGATTGATTATAACACCATATATGGTGTTATAATGAAGATAGTTCGTGTATGAAGTTATTTAGATTTGTTGAAATCAACGCGTTTTGGGTTAAGCGTTTTTTTATGGTTTGATCACACGGTTGATGAGGGAGTTGTTTCTTTTCATAAGTTGTGATAATGATTTTTGAATAAGTTGTGAATTGATTTTTTTGGTGTGTCTGTGAGCTCAAAAACTATATATTATAGACGTTGAGTTTGATTTACTGGGACAGCGAAAGGACAGCGAAGTTAGTTATGTCAATTTTGCTATTAATTTGTATTATTTAAAACATTCTCCTCTTTCTCTTTGTTCGGTTGGCGTTGTCAGGTTTAATCTTGATAGTCGCTGAATATCGGAAAGAGCTTTATTTTTGAGATGTGTTTTGTGGCTCTGTCTTGAATTTGCTTGAGTTAAGCTATATCTTGAGCTAGACATGGCATACCTTTTTTCAGACCTTTAAATTATCAGTCATTGCAACGCCTAGATCTTGTTCAAATGTTATGCATGATAGCTGGTCAAGTTAACCAACAGTACCGTTCATTGTGTAGATTGCAGGTAATTTTTTGTTGTTGTTGTGACTGGTAAGCATGATTTTGCACTTATCGACATTAGAAGACATGAGACATGTACGTGACTACTTCACTGCTTTGTTGCTTTCAGCTTGGAATTTTATGGTTCCTTCGTTCAATATTATAACATCAATTATTTTACAGTTGTCTGCATACATTTTGAAATAATGTAGTATTTTGTCTGGCAGATCATTCATAAAGATGAGAAGTAGGTGTGGTCCGAAAACAGATCCTTGTGACACACCGCTGGAGATTGTTTTCCATTCAGACTTTTTATTACCAAAGGTTCCTTGTTGTAGACGGTAGGATAGCCAGGTTTTGATCGATTTGTGCAAGGTGTCAGTCGCGTACGATTATACCTTTTTTTTTTTACTAATGATAAAGAATTTTGAAGAAGAGTCGGTTTTTTATACAGTTCACACCCGGGTGTAAACTGTATAAAGAACCAGGTAAAGGGTGGGTTTTACGTCCGTAAAAATAAATTAAAGTAGCCATAATATATTTGTACGTACAAAATGTCAATTGGTCGCATAAAAATTGTACTTGCTACCTCTGCAGTATTTATCACAGCGGATTGAATTAAACAAGAAAAAACTATAATGCAAAGACCTTTTTTTTGCTTTTATTAAGTATTAATTAATTAAATATATCATTGAGTTGATAACAGGCACCAAAGGTATCAAAGAGAGAAAAAGGATTAGTTTTTTGCCGACTTACGACTAAAAAACGATGTAAGGTTCTTGTTTGCCAACTAGCGTCAAAAAGGTACAAATTTGGTAAATACAAATCCAATTTTTCCGACTAGTTTTTTAATTTAAGCTAAGATTTTCGTATGGGTGGTACCCCTACACCCCCAAACCCCTAGAAACGGTCCTGGTTGAAATTATATAAGTATACTGCAATAAAAGTAAATAATTTTGATTTTTATCATAAGCAGTAAAATATTTTATCAAAAACAAGTATATTTTTAACCCTGAAATTTCCTTTCTTAAAAAATGCAAAATTAAAATTTTTTAAAATAATTTTTTTTAATTAGAAACTACTAACCAAACTCCTTGAAAAATATTTAAAAAGTAAAAATTGGAAAAATCATTAAGAAATGTAAGTAAAATCTTATATCTGCTTAGTGATGCATAGTAAGATGAACGAGAGAACAAATAATAATAATAATAATAATAATCAGCTAAATCTAACGCTATTTTTTTTTTAACTTTAGTTTATAGTTTTTCTGATTCATGCATAAGAAACTGAGTTGAAAATTTTATCCCCTAAATATAAATTTTATTTAAATTTAAGTTGTATTGAAAATGAGGTTCACTTTTAGGAATCTAAATAGACCTTTTTTTTTTTTTTTTTTTTTGTTCTTATTACAATATACTTTGGTATAAATATCGTTGTACATTAAATATCAGAACACGAAGACTCAAAGAGGATCGTTAGATCCTGTCACTGAGAACCGTTTAACAATACAGTAAAAATAAAACCAGTTAAATAATTACAATAAATGACGTTTAAAAATAAAATTTAAATTTAACCAGATATTTCATATAAAATTTCAAATAAAATTTAAATTTCAAATCAAATTTCAAATAAAATTTAAATTTAACTAGATATTTCAAAATATAAAATAACGTTTAACAACATAAAGAATATAAATAAAACTAAATATTTCAAAATAAAATAATATATTCAGGAACCACACACTTTTTTAAAATAAACTCAAAAGAACTTAAAGATATTATCAATTGACAAGATAACTTTTTTCAACTTGATTTTAAAAGTAAGAAAACTCCAACTTTGGTAAAAATCAAAATTTTTCAAAACTATTTTGTTTCACAGAAGAGCTCCGCGATATGTTAAAAGAGATCTTCCAAAAATTATATGAGAATGATGTTGATAAATAAGATTATCATTTCTTAAGTCATATTTGTTTTTTTGTTTTATTGCATATAAATTTTGAAAGGATATAGGGGTTAGGTTTATCTTACATTTGTACATAAATATGTGAATATTAAAAACATTTTGCTGGTATAAATTATGAACATTCATTTCCAATAAAAGAGGTCTGACATGAGTATAACGATCTTTAAAGTTTATTAAACGTGCTATATGCTTCTGTTGCCGATATAGAGGATCTAATTGAATTTTTTTAGCACTACACCATGCTATATTTGCATAGTTTATATGGCGTTGAATTAGCGGGTGATAAAGTTGAATTAATGAATGACCTTGAGGAGCAACCATCAAAAATTTCTCAAAAATTACTTTTAAACACAGAATTGACATATAACGCAAAGAAAACATCATTTTACTTAGTTTTGATACTTTATTCAATACTTTGTCCCTACCCTTCGGGCATTTGTTTTTGAAAGTTACGTTCTAAATGTCTTTAAAACGTTTTTTAAACGTCTTTTAAACGTTCTTTACGTAAGAATGTTTAAAAGACGTTTAAAATACATTTAAAGTACATTTAGAACGTAACTTTAAAAAACAAATGCCCGCTGGGTACAGTCAAATTCAAATTAAGAAGTAATTGCTGGGAGCTAAGTTGGCTTGGTACATATCAGCAGAGTTTGCAAATAATGACCGCCACGGATGCTGTACTGATGGCTTCATGTTGCAGTGCCATCAATTAAAAAGATTGCATCAGCCTAATAATTCTCTCAAGAAGTTGAGGTTTTCGACATCTTCGTTGAAAATGGTTCTAGATCTAGAGTTATTTCGGTCCGATAAAGGTTGTTGTCCTGAAAAAATTAGAGAAAATCAAAGCAAACGTTTTAAAGATGTCACGTTAGTCGATAAGGTTGTCGAGGCTGATGAGAAATGGAGAAAACGTGAGTGTTTAATTATTAATAATATTTCAAACTGATATTTATTTTTAGTTAATAAAAATTCAAATTAATTGTAATATTCTTTTAATTATTAATAATGTCAATAAAAGACTTATTTAATAGTTTATTTGTTTTATTATAAAATATAAAAAAATATTTTTGTAGAAATATTTAATGGAAATAAAATTTTGTTTCTCTAATTTAAAAACATAGTTTTATTTATATTATAAAGTTGTTTTTAAACACATTTTCATACATTTTATAATACAATAACTATTATAGGTTTAAAAATAAATTGATAAAACGTTGTAGGGGCGCTACTCGACTCCCCCCCCCCCTTCATTTTATGATTATAGAATTATATTTATTCAGAATCATATAAAAACATAGGTCTGAAAACTTAAGGAAAGTACTCTAATTTGATGTTAAAATATAAAAAACCACATTAAAAACAATAATGTTCTACGATCTGTTGTAACAATGTTTTCAAAAATCAATAAGTTATTTTTTTTAATTACGTGACCCGGTTTTTATTGTTGACAAAATTTAAACATTTGAACTTAATCCACATTTTAAGATGTACATACATTGACTGACAAATAGGGATTGGTACAATTAAATGTACATACATCGAAAAACATTTCCATGCCGTAATACCTTATATTTCCTTCTTGTTCATCAATAATTATATGTCTACTTGTCACAAAAGTTATTACTAGATAATTACAGAGCTTTTGTTTCAATAACTGTCTTTTAAACGTGTTCAATTTAATTTTAAATATATATGACAAATAAGGAAGTTTTTTCATTGCAAAAATAATTATCAAAAAGTAAACATTTACTTACAAAAAGATAGAGTTTTAAACATTTGATGAATCAATAATGAAAAGATATATTTAATGAATGATTATTGAAAATGTTAATAAAAGATTAATGCCCAAAGATGGTGTGCGGTATGTTACAAACACAATATTCAAAAAGATTCAGGATATAAATGTGTAGAATGTGATGTAGGACTTTTTGCATCTTCTTGGTTTTTACAATTATTATACAAAAAGTGAATATTAGTGAATACATTTTTAAAATCTTATGTTAATGTAGTATGATTTATATATTCTTAAACTTGAATAATAACATTTTGTAGTGTTTAATAATGTGAAAAATAGTAAAAAACATTTTTTATTCTATTAGTAAAAAAACACGATGAATATAAAAATATGGGACAATTAGAGAAAAAAAAACTTTGAAAATAAAAAAGCTGGACTAATCGCGACCATTTTAAAAAAAAGCACGGGACTGTTAAAGGGTTAAAGTGTCTATAGAAACCAGGCTTTTTTAAAGTTGTTATTCTATTTATTATTTTTTTATTATATTACATATTTTATATTTAAACACTAGTTTTAATGAATTAATTATTTTACATGAAAAACTTTTTAAAAAATAAAAAATATATACAAATAAATAGCAATTAGTTTTATTGCTTTCCTGTGCATTGATGATAAAAACAATAAAGTTTTGCAAAAACATTTGAAAAATAAATTTTAAAATTGTCCTTATTTCTAGTGCAAATAATAAAGTATTTCCTTAAGATACTGACAAAAATCGCAAATAAATTGTATATCAAAAAATAATTTTGTTTTCGTTATATTCTTATTTGCTTTCTTTCTCAACTTATATTAATTTTGGCACTGGAAAGCAATAAACATCTTTTTAAAAACAAAAAAACAAAAAAAAGTCAGTAAAATATTTACGTATTTTTTTTTTGACAAAATTTTTACTTTTTTATTAATTTTAAATTTTATTTTCAGTTTTTTTGTGTAGATATTCTGCTTTGTATAGTATCTGCTTTCTTTCCTCGAGTATTGCTGTTTTAGTGTCTGTTGTTTCTTATAGGTTTATTAGGTGACAAACCCAGAGTTATTAACTATGGGTTTGCCTCTAATAGAATATATTTTTAAAATAAATAAAAACTTTAAGTTGCCAGCAAGCAAAAATTAACATAGTATTGTTAATTTTTGCTTGTTGACAATTTTAAAATTGTTATATTCTTATGGCAAGGCGAAAAATAAAATTTTTATACATTCCATTTTCTTTACATTGAGTTTTGCAACAATTCATTTTTTTTTATTATCTAATGTTCCGTTAGTAACCGAACATTAGATAATAAGTAAAAGGGCAGTTTTAAATGTTAAGTAAGTTGCGGCATGTAATTACTTTCCAATTCATTTTGTTGTACTTAAAAAAAATAAACCTAAACAATAGAAAAATAAACCTAAATAAACAGAAAAATGTGTTATTTACTATTGCATTTTAAAACAAAACTTTTTTCTTAAGTTTAAAAATAAATAAAAAGAAAAATAACTTTTAGAATAAACTTTTCTGCTTTTCTCTACAGTTCTTCTCAATGCATCCTCGGCCCATAATTCAATTGCAGGGTTCAAATCAAATTCATCACTATTTGTTTCATCCATGTACACCCGAATTAATTTTTCATTTAAGCGATTTTAGCCGTGTTTAGAATTAACATTCCATATGTATCAGGAACTATATTCTGAGCTTCCTCTATAGATTTGCTTCTCTATAGATTTGCTTCTCTATAGATTTGATCATTAACTCTACAATTATTGATTTCAAATTCTTTACTAAAGTTAGTGCATATTTAAAATCATTAAGCACAATATCCTGGAATGAATACTTCCATTTTTTTAACTTATTCAACAAATCCAAAAAATGTTACTAAATCAATTTCGTTGCTTTGAAAAGATAATGACAACAACTTAGCTGGTGATAAAATTTCTATAAATAATGCCAGGGTTGCATGGTTTTAACCAAATGGTTTAAACCATTTGTTTAAACCAATTTAAAAATTGTTGGTTTAAACCAAACTAATGTTTTTTAAAAAGATTTGAACTTAAAACAGGAATCTAAGACAGGGTTATGCTCACAAATATAACTAATCTTCAATAGAGATATATTTTTTTAAATCCATGATTTTTTTTTTGTTTTTTTTTTTAATTTATCAATATGCTTTATCCAGGATACACTCTACCTAATAGAACTGAAATTGGAGGAGAAATATTAGGTAGGGCTTACACAGAAGAAATTGAAAAATGTAATGTATTGAATGGGAAAATTGTAGCCATGTCTTTAGATGGCTGGAGTAATGTACATAATGAACCTATAGTTTGTATCTCTGTAATTACAGATAAAATTAACATTTTAGTAGAAACAATCAATACTTCTGGTCATTCACATACTGGTGAATATCTTACACAATTAGCAAGAGAAGCAATAGATTTTGTAAGACGTAAATTTGGATGCACAGTAAAAAGCTTTGTGAGTAACAATGCAGTTAATGTGAAATCAATGAGACAAGTATTGTCATCTGAAAGAGATATTATCATAACTTATGGGTGTGCTGAATCTTTTTGCAAATCTTTTCATATGCTAAATCTTTTTGCAAATGATCTTAACATTGAAAATGTGAGCAAGCATGTTACACAAATAATAAAATATATAAGAAATAATCATCAAGCTAGAGCAATTCATAAATTAAGCAAAGGAACAAAATTGCCACTTCCTACTGAAACTCGCTGGAGTTCTGTATGTGATTTACTTGAAAAATATGTCAACAACAGGAGCATTATTTTTACAATGTTTGAAAAAAATAAAGACTTATATACAGATAAAGCAAAACACAGAAGATTTATTGAAAATATTGAAACCAATTGCAGTAGCTCTAGATAAATTGCAAAGAGATCAAACAAAAATAAGTGACTCTTGAAATTTTTAAAGATGAGATAAACAGTTTATCATTTTTATCAAACGAAAAAAAAAAAAATTGAATCTAGATACCTTCAGACTGTCAGTGATGCTTATTTCCTAGCAAACTCACTAGATCCTAGATATTTTGGATCTAATCTTTCTGAAAATGAAAATGAAGCTGCCATGAATTTCGCAAATAAAGAGTTAAAGAATTTGTTACCAATATTATTCAAATTAAAAGCCAAATCTACTATAACATAATGGAAATTGAAGGTTTATTAAATGCACCAGCTTCTAGTGCTGGAATCAGAAGAATTTTTTCAACTTTTGGTCTTGTTCATTATAAGTTAAGAAACCGATTGGGGTAGAAAAAGCAGCAAAGCTTGTATTTATATATAGAACATTAAACAATGATATATTAAATAATTTTAATGAAATATAACAATAATATTGATAAAGAATATAGTTTACTCAAATAAAATACGTTATGCTTTTTTTTAATTTAAAAGGATAACTAAATACCGCATTTTTTAGTAAAAACCTATTTTAAACCAAAAAAATGGGTTTGGGTTTTGGGTCCATGGGTTTTTTTGTTTTTTTTTAAAAAAACCTATGGTTTTTGGTTTTTTTCAAAACAACCGTTTTTTTTGCAACCCTTAATAATTCTATATAAAGAAATTTGAAAGGTCAAATATGTTACCCTCCTAACTTTTTTGGAGATTTTTTAAAAATTTTATACATTTTCAAAATGATATTATCAACTTCATTAAATGCTTTAATTTCTGCAAACTTATCTTTTAATGCTAACTCTAGGTGATGTGCAACACACCAACTAAAAGTTAACTATGGAAGAAGGATCGAAGCTGATAATAAATATAGTTTCTTTTTCAATCACAGAAACATAGGTTGATGCATCAATTAAAATACTGAAATAATTTCGTATTTTTAATTTGTTTCTGAGACTGTTTGACAAACTCAATCCAATGTAGTCAATAAAAGTTCTACAAAGTTCTTTGTTTCTATAAGCTTGGCCGAATTTTACACCATGATTTTCTTCTAAGCATAGTATTTTTGGCTATCGCTAAGTTGAAGCTCTTCTTTAACAATTATGCTACCTCAAGAAGCTCTTCTTTAACAAGTATGCTACCTCAAGTTTTTTCCAGGTTAAATTTAAATCTTTCATAATTTTCAAGCCTGATAAAATGTCATTTTGCTGCTTTTTTTTTTTTTTGCAGGTT